TCATTAGATGCGTGATTGGACCTAAGGCGTAGAGAACTACCATCATATACCGCTCGTTCCCATGAGTTTGCCGACCAAAGTGTCCAGGCGCATTCCCTTCCACAGGTATTCTCGAAAAATATCTAACGTCGATTCGCTTATCTGAACTGCTGATTTTTCATTGGACAAGTTAAGAACGATTGATTCTTCCTCTTAAAATTGACTGATGAATTACTTCCCTTGGTTTCAGAGAGCGTGTCATTCATTTGTTAGCATTGAGACCCTACCAGCGACCGGAATTGCTGCTTCGGCTTAAACGGGACGGGCTTACGCAGACTCAGAAGAATCAGCTCGACGATGTTCTGTCTGATGTTGGACAACAAGGCCGTCGGTTGGCTTATCATTTAACTCCCAATGTCTTTTGTGAGTTAGATCCATATTGGCCCGGCTATTCAGCTGGAGAGCGGAAACGCATCCTGGCGCTCAAGGTAAATGTCATCCCTACTTGTTTCCGTGCTCATTTCGCTATAAGTTGTTTTTAACCTTATTCGGAATAATACCCTTGCTATACGGTTTCATTCGTTAGCAAGGGTATTTCGCTTGTCTACGTTTAGTGGTTACTTTGAAGCTTATTGTGTTGATTTCTTTTTGCATAAAATCTCATGTGAATTGTTCCAGTACGCATTTACTTCTGTTTTGTCTGGACCAAGTTTTGCGCAAAGCTGCGCATNTGTATGAATATCTGGTGCATGTGACTCAGTTATTACATCTGCGGTTAGTCACTCGCAAGCACATTTCCCGGATACGAAATATAATGGCGCACCAACTTCTTAGACGTAGCCGATCAAGAGATAGAAGAATGACCACGAGAAGTGATGGATGATGAATATGCAGGGGTGACGGAGGCTTTTTAAAAATTATTGTACTATGATCTACTTGGTGCAGAATCTGAATTCAGACGCTTGTGAAATACACCAAATACAATGGAAGCTGCAGTCATTGGCAACCGTCGAAAACTTTTCCGGTTCATTGAAAATATGAGCCCACAGAGACTGGTTAACTCAACTTTGACATTACATTGCTTCACATACTGCCGCCGTTCTGAAACAAAGAATGTTTGCAAGATACGGCTCATCGGGTCTTCGTCGCTATTAGATCCACCAACTTTTACTTCAGGTATCTGTTAGCAGTTGATACCAGTCGCGCAAGAACCATGTGTATCTTGAATCTGATGAAAGATGAATCGTCCGAATTTTCACCGTGACATGAGCGTTTCTTCCTTAGACCCACAATTTCTT